CAGAGGAGGGGAACCGGCGGGCGCTGCGGCGAGGATTCCAGCCCCGCGGGAGACACCTCCTCCTCGGAGCACGCGCGGAGCACCCCCTCCTGCCCTGGGCGCGGGTCGCAGCGCGGAGAGGGCGTGTCAGCACGCGGCTGGACGAGCGCCCACCCCACAATGGCTGCGAGCGCCTGGAACCGAGGGTGCACCGCCGCTCCCCGGGGTCTTGCAGGGTGGCACGCTTAGCGCAGTGCCCAGCATATTCTAGTGAGCGCTCAGTAGGGCGGGAAAGCTGACGCGGCTGCTGCTACTGCAGCCTTTGGAGAAGCCCTTTCTGTGATATCAGGACTGCCACGCCAGTCACGATTGCAGACAGCATTCGTAATCTGTAATTAATTTGTAATTAACAAATAAGTAATTAAGGAGAGTTTGGGTGCGTATCCTGTGGCGGGATGCCCAGTTCAATAAAAGTTGCAGGCTGCTGGGAAAGTGGATTGATTTGCCATTGCAAAATAAATGGATTGAGTTTTTGTATCCTGTCTTCGGTTTCTGGATATTGTTGACTGCCTGTGACTTGGATGTTTTTTTGGTTTTTGTTTTTTCAGGCCCACTGAGGGCATTGGGTGTTGGTATCACTGCAGAGAGCCCTGTTGGGACGTTCAACCTGGAAAGAGCACAAATGTTCCTGAGTTGATTTGGAGGCTGGTGGTTCATTTTCATAGCTCCACCGCCTAACTGCACATAGCTGGAGCCCTCATTTAGATTACCACCAAATAGGCAAGGAAGAAGGGAATCAAATGAGCGGCTTTTTAAAAGACCTTTAAACATAAGTACCTAACTCTTGACTGCTCCCTTGCCCCGTGAGCTGACCCTGTGAAGCACAAAATACAACAAAGGAAAATACTGGGGAGGAGACAAAAGAAACCATATGCAAAATGCTGTAGGCTTGTGTCAGACTCACTCACTCAGTAATAGGTCAAGTTCTGGCTTTGAAAAATTGCATGCATCAAGGAGATTCATGGAGGGGCATATCACAGCTGCGGAAGATAATTTTACCCTGGGCCACTGCCCAACTTTTTTTTTTTTAAGATTTTATTTATTTATTTATTTGAGAGAGAGAGAGAGCACATGAGGAAGGAGGGTCAAAGGGAGAAGCAGACTCCCTGCCAAGCAGGGAGCCTGGTTGGTGCTCGATCTCAGGACTCCAGGATCATGACCTGAGCCAAAGGCAGTCACTTAACCAACTCTGCCCAACTTTTAATCACAACCCTTCTCCACCCCCTCCCAAAAATCATAAAGAGGAGTGTTACTTCTGGAATTAACCAATCTCTTGGACAACCCTGCTGGATCCTGTCCCCAAGGTTATGGGGATGTATAAGTCACATCTTCACCTTGCCAGTAATAGAACTTGACATACAGTTTGCTGTCAATCATTATCATTAGTATGATGTTTAGTACTATTGGTATTATAGTGATCAGGTCACTGTTTATAGAGCCTGATTGTACTGGGTTCAAACTCCAGTTTACAACCCACTAACTGTATGACCTTGGGCCAAACTAACTGGGCCTCAGTTTCCTCATCTGTAAGTGGGGATAAAAACTTCATAGGGCTCTAGTGACTTTTACTTCCACTAATATATGTAAAGCATTTAAAACAGTTCCTGGCATATGGTAAATAAGCTCTCAATAAATCTTACAGACATAGCTTCTTCATAATAGCTTCTTCATAATAACTATTACGAATAGCCAAGATGTGGGAACAACCTAAATGTCCATAATGGATGAATGGATAAAGAAAATGTGGTATGTACATACAATGGGGTATTATTCAGCCTCAAAGGAAATCCTGCAATATGTAACAACATGGATGCAACTTGAGGACATTATGATAAAGGAAATAAACCAACTGCAGGACAAAGACTGCATGATTCCACTTATGAGTGGAATTGAGTACTAGCTAAAATACTCAAATTCATAGGATGGCTGCCAGGTGCTGGGGTTGGGGGAAGGCGGTAATGGGGAGTTGTTAGCCAACGGGCACGAAGTCTCAATTACACAAGATGAGGTAAGTCTAGTGAATGAGGGATTTTGAACAGGAAAGGGACAACATCAGATTTACACCCCCTACATCACATTCTTTCCCCATGTTTCAGCATCCTCAAACTCTTTTTTCCCTTCAAAATGCCCAGAACTCACTGCACAGACAACAAGATCTGATTAACATGTAATTCCTCCCAGGAGTGTTTGCCCTTTTTTTTAAATAGCTCCTAGGAGGAGGAACCCAGAGGAATGAAGCTCTACTAAAGGAATTTTAAGTCCTGTGATCTTGGAAAGGAGAGATTGAGAAGCAGCGAAGCCTTCTCAAAGGCACTCCCATCACCCTCCTTCACCTGGTAGAGGGTGGTTCAGGATGCCCACCACCATCTCCTAGCCCCGAGACTTCTGGCAGGTTGTTTGATCTCTGGAGCCAGCCTGTTTCCTTGCAGGTTCCTGACTCGTGGCCTTTTTCCAGGGTTGAAGTAGATATCAAATGCCTATCACATAATAGTCTACCCAGAGGACTTCCCTTCCCTCTCAGAAGTGATTCTCAGCCCCAGGTGCACCAGGAGTTCTGCCTGGTCCTCAGACTTGGCAATTGGAATCCCCTAAGGGAATTTGAAAACACCTGCGCCTGAGTTCCACGACCAGGGAGACTGATTTAATTCATCTGGGCCATAGCCTGGGCATCAGGACTTTTTTAAACTCCCCAAATGATTCTAACGTGCAGCAAATTTGAGATCTAAGGAATTTTAAAAGAAACTACTCTTGCTCAGGTCCTACCCTTAAACAATTAAAGTAGAATCTCTGGGGACTGGGCTCCAGATTTTTTTTTTTTAATGTATTATACACATTTTATTCCATCCTCGTATAAGGACATACAGACATATGGGTGTGTGTGTGTACATACATATGTGTGCATATTTTGTCATTATTTGCTTTACAGGAATAGAAGCACATCACACTCACTTTTCTGGATCTTGTTATTAACGCTTCCTGTTGGGGCTTCTGGGTGGCTCAGTTGGTTAAGCGTCTGCCTTGGGCTCAGGTCATGATCCCAGGGTCCTGGGACTGAACCCTGCATCAGGCTCCCTCTGCCCCTCCTCCTTGCTCAGGCTCTCTCTCTCAAATAAATAAATAAAATCTTTTTTAAAAAATAAATAAAAATTAAAAAAAAAACATTTCCTGTTAACACTTCTTACCATCAACAATTCCTGGGGCACCTGGGTGGCTCAGTCAGTTAAGCATCTGACTCGGTTTCAGCTCAAGTCATGATCTCACAGTCTTGGGATCAAGCGCTGCATCGGGCTCCACTCTCCACGCGGAGTCTGCTTTGGATTCTCTCTCCCTCTGCTTCTCTGCCCACTTGTGCTCCCTCTCTCTTTCTCTCTCAAATAGGTAAATAAATAAAACCTTTAAAAAAAAAAAAAACAATTCCAATAGAAATCCCTCCAAGTCAATTATTATTATTCCAATACACTTTTTTCACTTAATTTTTTTTACTTTGCTACAATTTCAAACATACAGAAAGAAGAGTGCAGAGACTTCCACATTCACCCTGCATTAGATCCCCCAAATGTTAACCCATCATGGTATTTCCTCCGTGTCTCCATATGCTTTGGAGGCTCCTCATGAGATTCCAGCGTGTGTCCAGGTTGCTAGGGGAGGCCTCAGGGATGCGATGAAGCTTCAGGCAATGATCTGTGACACTTCTGACCCTTGTAAGGGATCCTTGCACAAGGGCAGCCAGGCTGTGGATAGGCTCTGAGGATAGGCTCAGAGTCAAGCAGCCTAGGTGTGAATTCTGACTTCTCTTCCCAGCTTTTCATGCCTCAGTTTCTTCATCTGTAAAAGAGATAATGGAAGTGCAAACTCCTAAGGGTGTGTGAGGCCTAAATGGGATGACTTACTCTAGCACTTCGCACCAGTAAGTACTCAATCAAGGTGAGCTATTCACATGTATTGATCATTACCATGACTCATCTGTGAGATAAAACTGGTTTAAGCTCCCCCTCATGACCTATTAGCAGAATGTTTTATGAGCCCCAACCCACTAAATCCCTTAGAAAAACTGGAGAGTTGTCAGTAGATAAAAGCATCTCAAATTTAGAAACCGAAGGCCTTTTTGCAAATGAAACCAGCAAGAATCAACAATAATATCTGTTGCGGTGACTCACCCTAAGAGATGTTTTGTATGTGTTTGTGGATGCTGGCCTGGGATACACCCAAGAATAATATAACCTCAATGTGCAGAATGTGTCACTGAGGCAGGAAACTAATGAAAGAAGGTCTACCCTCACAAACTGATTGGTAACAAGGCCAGAGGCTGGAACAGCAGGGTCACAAGCTCAGCATGTCTATGGGGTCAGGCCGCATACCTGTGAAGAAGGCCAATTGTCAGTTCATGAGAAGTGGGGGGACAGTGGACGCCTGGAGAACAAAGTGCTCGCTCCAAGAGCCAGTTGTTCCTCGGTCCCAGGCTGGGTGGGAAGGTGTGCCCTTAATTGCCCCACATTCCAGTCCTTCCAGAGGGGCTGAAACTTTGCATCTTGATGTGAAGTTCTCCAAAATCTAAATATTTTAAAATTTCCCAGTTTTTAAAATCTCCTCTGCAGGCCAGTTTGAAGCATCTGGTCATGGCAATTACATAGAGAGTTTGGTTCATAGGGAAGATGTAAAAAAGGGGAAAAGGAAAAGAATTTACATTTTTTGGGGTGTCTCGGTGGCTCAGCCAGTTAAGCATCTGCCTTCGGCTCAGGTCATGATCACAGGGTCCTGGGATCGAGCCCCACATCGGGCTCCCTGCTTAGCGGGGAGCCTGCTTCTCCC